TGAATTTGTTGATAGTTGCGCACCACCCTGTTTGTTAGAATGCCAGGGCCATGCAGATCCATCTTTTAATCCTATATAAGATTAAAGCAGATCCATCCTTTGCGGGTACAAGTTTTATTCTGCTTGTTTTCTCCAAGCTTGTCTGGAAACTGTAATCCAAGAAGCTAGCTCAACTTTCAATTTATGGCATCTGCGTTATTCCACCCATTGTTTGGTCCTAAACCTAAGGGCTATCAGCATTAATTTTGCTTCTCTTGTCAGCTCCTCAGGTTATGTTTCTTGTTATCAGCTCGTGTCTGTTCTACTGCCCTACCATGCAAGGGAATGTGAGTGATTTGTTCTAGGGGAAGCATTGTTGAACGGCAACTTGGATGTGATGGCACTGTCTTCCTGATATATTTTTCCACTTCCTTTATGTTTTTAATTTGATTCTTGAATGTGGATTTCATAATATTGATGAGTTTAGGGATGTGGTTGACTGTGCTTGCAATGTCTTTTGTTGTTCTTGGGAATAGTGGTGCTTAAGTCATAGATTGATCGCTACAGGATAAAGATTTTTGTTCCATGAATGGGGTTTTGTTGGCTTGATGCAGCATATTATTTATTTCCTTAGATTTTTGTGATTGCAGATTTTGCCCCAATGGAACCTGGGACGATGTTTTTTTTTGTTTTTATGTCCTTTTTCTTCAGTGTGTTAATTTTGCATTTGGTTTTTCACATGGGCATTGCTAGCTTGTTAGGCAATGTTAAACTGAATATATGGGACTGGCTACATTTGCAGAATCTAGATGCTTAGTTAAACCATCCACCATGTTGTATCATATTGTTTGAATTTGGTCAAGTTCTTCTGAGATTGGCCTTTGACATATCAAGATGCTGTCAGTTGAAATGTGTGCCACATGTTGCATCTTAGCTTCTGCCTCGTTTCTTAACTATTCTTTTTGTCTCAAGTATCTATTTAAACTGTTAGCCATTCTAATGTTTTTGATGAATTGATGTTGTTTAGCAATAGTTAAGATTTTGCCTGTACATACTTGAGAGAAATTACATGTTAAGAATTCCATATCTCAAGAATGTTATGTATTACTTTTGATTAGAGTTAAGGTTCTCTGCACTTAGGTATTTTTCTTCAGCATATTTAGATACAAGGAAATGTTGCCAAGTGAATGTGTAATCGGCTATTATTCTTAGTGTTGTTAGGTGGAAGTTAATGTGGTGCGAGTTTTATGTCTATGGTAAGATCAAATTTTTCCTTGTTTAGCGTATGGAGATGGTGAAATATCAACCCTTTTTTTTTTTGGATTGAATGTTTCTACTTGATTGATATGCATTGATGGTTTGTTGCCTGGTCTAGTGGCATGAAGGCAACAGTTAGGATATCTGCTTCTCACATCAATCTGTGTTTTTGGTTTGTGATGCTTTCTCTACATGTGCAAGTGCTTGGCCATCTTCCAAGAGGGCCCATAACTTCCTGCTCTTTTAATTCGTAATTTAGGGCCTTTTAAACATGGATGCATGTCATTGCTTTAATATCTGTTCGTAGTTTTGATGCCCTGTCCATTATGACATTATATCTATTTGTTTGTGAGAAAGAAAATGAAGAACATTGTATGATTGCATAGCCACATGATTGTGGGCTCAATTTGAAATGGGAGATATTTGTGTGCTCTCAATGTTAGTGACAAGTACTTCTGTTCAGAATTTGGGATGAATGGCTTTTCGCCTGGGATATGTTTAAAATCTTTGCTATTTACATCTCTTAGATCCTGTGAATATCAATTATGCAGTGCCTCTTAGTGAGGCATATCATTGTTTGTTTTGTGTTTAATTTTGTCATCTGAATTTGACTTCTAATGCATGGATGCTTCATCCTATTTGCTTGCCATGATATAGAACGAATTCTCCATTTTAATTTTTTGTTAATATGTAACTTTATGTTGTTTTTCTTGTTTCTTTTTATATTCATGTGAAAATGGTAATGCTGGAAACATCAAAGTAATTTTTTGTTTCTTCTAACCATGAATGATGCTCTTGACTAGAGACGCAATCATGATTGATTTTGCTGTCCAAATTGGCACCCTACCTGTTGACATTGTCATTGAAACATCAGCTCATGTGTACTTATAAGTGGTTATAATCAAGTACTGTCATTGGTGGTTGAAGTCCAGCTGGGTTTCTGATAAGTCTTTTATGTAAAAACAAGAAGGAATGGTCTGTTGTTATTGTGGTGTGCTTGACCTGTCTTTGTCACATTAATGTAGCTCTATATCCTGCAAATAGTTTTTGTGAACCTGGATTCTTATAGGAGTAGATAGATTTTATATTTTGGTCTTTTATTGTTGTTCATTATGCTAATTTGAAAATTGCTGTTCTGCTTATTTTAAGGTTCTGATTTCTTGAATTTAGGGATCTAAATTTATAATGCTTCAAATGTTTTAGTTTTTCCCTCTTTCCTGTTCTTGACAATAAGCATGTGCAATAGCAATTTATCCCACTTGTAAATTTTACTGCCTTTAATCTGTGTACCTACCTATTTGTTCATTTTTAAACACTTTCTGAATGGCTAACAAAATCAGAACTCAAAACCCCATAATATGCAGGATGTTGTTTTATAAAATATTCAACCACTGAAGAAGCTGAGAGGGCTATTAGAGCTTTGCACAATCGACATACTCTGCCTGGGGTGAGGTGTTCATTTCTTTTACTTTTAAGTGAAAGGAATAACTGCAATCGCTCATGCTCAAATGGGTATTTTACAGGGAGTTGGTCCTATTCAAGTCAGATATGCTGATGGTGAACGGGAACGTCTTGGTAATTATGTTGTGGACTTGTAGGCTTTTGAAGCTAGCCTTTTTTATTACATGTTCAAATTTGTATTAAGTGGATGTGTTTTATGAGTGCCTATTTCATGTATTATATTACTTGAAATAATTCATTGGTTGTTTCCTTTTGAGCATTTATTCCACTGTAGAAGAATGTAATCATAAAGAATCATGGGAAGAACTCACAACAGATGATGGTTTTGCTTGTTGTTGGAGATGCCTTGTTTTGGCATCTGGATTGTCAACAGCAAGATCTGAATGACTTGATTACTTTTTGCTTATTATGATGACTTCTAATATAATCTTGAACTTGATCCACTTATGCATGTTATAAATAACTTCTGGATAGGGGTGGTTTGGAATGAATTGTCCTTATGCTAATTTAACAGTTTAATTTTATATGTCTTATCTTCATTTCAGTTAGTTTCATTACCTGTTTTTGTTCCCTTTACCATAGGTGCTGTTGAGTACAAGTTGTTTGTCGGGTCACTCAACAAACAAGCTACTGAAAAGGAAGTTGAGGAAGTATGTCATATGCTAAGTCTATGTCATGCATAATTCTGTTGTCCTTTTCTAGATCATTTATTTGTCTATTACAAACAAAGATTCTTTTCTCCATTCTAAGAAGCCTTTCAGTAACGTATATCTTTAATATATATATTTTTGTTTCTATTTGTGCAAATCTTATATGCTTTTGACCTTATTGTTGTGTTTGAGTGTATTTATTTGTTCTGATGCATGTCCTTTTCATCTGCAGGTTTTTTCAAGCTTTGGTCGAGTTGAAGATGTTTATCTCATGCGTGATGAATTGAAGCAAAGTCGTGGTGTGTCCTTGATCTTGAACAAGCATAACATTCCCATCTAAGATTTAATCAAGGCTTTATTTCTTTCTTTTCTTTTTCTCTATATAATATTGATTTTCTAGGTTTCATTTGAGTCTGATGATATATGTTAATCACTCTCTCCTTGCTTGCCTGAGCTAGTTCTGGTTTTCTTTCTCTTTCCAATATAATTTCATGCTTCCTTGTTTTATTATTTTTGTTTTTTGTTTATCATACCTTATATACATTATACAGGCTTTTCCTTCTTATTTGACCTTGTATTAGGCAATCTATACTGCATTTTATTGTGAGAATAAAGAAATTTTAGGATGTGTTTAATAGGTTGATTTTCTTTATGAATTGAAGTATTAGTAATAATTGCACCAAATCCATACCTGTCTTACACATACGGAATGAGTCAATTCTGGGATCTACTCTTCATCCAGTTTGTTTGTGGGATGATGTCAAATCGTCCCTTGTTTATTTATTTATTTTAAATGGTTTACTCTGTAAGTTTTTTCATGAGCTCTTTTAGAAAAATAAATTCTTTTCTGTGATAGCAAGGCAGGCATTACTTTGTCATTCTTTCTAGATCTGTACATCTCCTTTTAATCTTTAATATTACCATAGAAGTTGATGCTGATGCTATGTTATTTCTCATTCCTGATGTGTTTTTTCTGAAGGATGTGGATTTGTTAAATATGCTGATAGAGAAATGGCATTGGCAGCCATAGATGCTCTTAATGGAATTTATCCAATGAGAGTAAGTGGGATTTGTTACATTGGTAATGTTCTGTTTATTCATTATGTTGTCAAGGTTATATGTTTTATTTGTCTGCATTATAGGGGTGTGATCAACCTTTAACCGTCCGGTTTGCTGATCCTAAAAGGCCTAGATCTGGAGCTGGAGATTCAAGGTTTTTCCTCAGACATCTTTTACTCTTCTTGATGATAGGTGTCAAAATTGACAGGCATGATGAGGGCAGGAAGGGATTATTATTCATTTGGTTTTTCTGTGGGATGTATCTTTGATTGAAGTTTCATCAGGCAGTTTTTCTCCTTATTTGAGATGCTAAATGCATGAGACATCTGTTTTGTTTTTTAATGCCTGTAATTTTTTCTTTGCATTTTGTCTGTGGTACTGTTTTATTTAATTTTCTAACTTTAATTTCAGAGGTGGAGCTCCTGCCTTTGGAGGTCCAGGTTTTGGTCCTCATTTTCAAGTGCCAGTGCCTAGGTATGTGGAGCCTTCTGTGGTATAATGCTGCTGGCATGGTTTGATGTTCTAAATTATTGTCACCTTTTCTCATTTGACTTATTTTTTTGGTATTTTTTTCTTGTGCTTACTCTTACAGACAAACCCCTAACTTTCCTGATACCAGGGGGGATCATGTTACGTCAAATGCTTGGCACCCAATGAGTCCTGAGAATATTGGTCCACCTTCTAATCCTGGTATTCGTGGTTTCGGCAGTCAGTTGCCTCCTAGGTCTGGAGACCTCACAATGCCTTCAAATCCTGTAAGAAAATTTTTCATTGTTAGCTAGTTTATTCTTGCCCTGTAGATACTATAGAATTTCAGAATTATCTTTTTCTAAATACCCTTACTGAGTAAGATTCATTAAGGGTGTTATGGTACTTTCATTCTGCACTTTTTTTGTGCATTCTGGACCAAAAAAAACTGTTCTCTTATAATTTATTGGCATTATTTGTTTTTGACGTTAATGCATTTCATTAAGGTTATGTTTAGGTTGAAGGAAATGGAGGGGAGAGAAGTGAGACACTTTATTTGTAAATTTGGATAATAAGAGAAATTGGAGGTAAGGGGAGTGATTCTAACATCCATACAAGTAAAGACATGCACATTCCCTTCATTTCTCCCGTCACCTCCTCTCCATTCCCCTCAACCAAACATAATCTCCATTCTCCTCAACCAAACATGCTCTAAAGGAGAGGTGAAATGTATGATCCCCTTTTAATGTTGGAAAACTCAAGCATATGAAATCATTCCTAATGTGGTTTTTATAATTTGATTATCTTGTGATGGTTGGGCTGGCAATTCCCTAGGCCTTTCACTTAAAGCATGGCTTCTTTGTTTTTTTGGGCCAAACAAAGATTCTTTGTTTTTGGGCCACCATAGATTCTTTTGATTTGAAGGCCTATAATCTAGTTATATTGTCTCTCATTCCATATGCCTTGTTTATTGGGTACCAAGTGATGCTAATTATCATTTAATTTTACACATTAGCTTATTTCTAAGATTTTTAGTTAAAGATTATTTCAAAATCTTAATTTCTAATTTCATTAACTGGAAATATTTTCTTACCATGCTTCCAAAAATATTAGGGTGGTCCCTTCGGTGGTCCTTCAGAAGGCGTTGCTCCTGGAGTCTTGGGTCCATCTTCATCTACTTCACAACAGGCATGTGAAAATGGTCTTTGTATTTCACGCTTCACCTTTTTTCCTGCTCTTCCAGATTGAATTAGGAAATTGGTTTTCTATTCTTTCAGGGTTTTAATCAATCATCATCACAAGTCCCATTGGTTGGGCAGCAAATTTCACCACTACAGAAGCCTCTTCAATCACCTCAACATTTGCCTCCATCCTTTCAACTACAGTCTCAGAGGGCAGCTTCTTACCCACAGACACTAACTGCCCATCATGGTCAGCCACAATTTCCTACTGCCAGTCAAACACCATTTAGTCAAGCTCAGCCCTCACAACATTTACATGGGTTGAGTGGACAATTGCCTTCTTCTCAGGTGCAGGTTCAGCAGTCTGTGTCTTCTTCTACTCCATCACAAACTCCACTGATTATGAACTTCCCACCTGGCAATATGTCCACCTCAACAAATCAACAGCATTTGCCTCCTCCCATCCAGCAGTCCCCTTCTCAGCTAGCTCAGATGCTGTCTCAACAGACACAAACTTTGCAAGCAACCTTTCAATCGTCTCAGCAGGCTTTCTCTCAGCTGCAGCAACAATTGCAGCAAATGCAACCATCAAATCCGAATTCATCATTGCAACAGAATCCTCAAAAGCACCAGGTATGGCAGTACTGGATGCTCAGTTTTTCATGTTCTAGATGGATTAACTGAGTCTGAGATATTTGCCCATGAGTATATTCTATTTTTAGTCCCAGACAATTTTCTGGTGGTCTTGTGTGTTTGTCTCTACAAAATAAAATGCCAATTTAATGATTTTAGTTTGAGAAGCACTTCATTGGTGTTGCTTAGGTTAGAAAATTTTCTGTACTATAAGGGTTCAAAAATGTCCTACTCATTTCATCTTTATTCTGTCATTACCATCCTAATTGTCATTTTTAAAGAATTTTATGCTGTAGTATCGTTTTTTGCCTGCATAAGTTTATTTAGGATGTTGTAGTTGATGCTGAGAAATTTGCGTTCCCAGTCTCAGTGGCTAGGAATTTCCCCACAGCCGGTTGCCAGCACTCCTACTACCATACCTGCTAAAGATGTGCCTTCATCTACGGCATCTGGTCATGCAGCCCCTGCTGTAAAGCAGCCAGTAGCTCCTTTAGAATGTCATTGGACAGAGCATACTTCACCTGATGGGTTCAAGTACTACCATAATAGTGTAACTCGTGAAAGCAGGGTGAGAAACTAATCAATGAATTTATGGCTGTTGTGTGCTTTTTCTCTTCTTACTTTGACAATTTTTTGCTATAATGGAAGTGCAGTGGGAGAAACCTGAGGAGTTGATTTTGTTCGAACAACAAAAGCAGCAACAAAAACAAGTCCAGCAGCCTACTCAGCCACATCCTCAAGTTCTGCCCACCCAGCAAGCTTCACAAGCACAACAGGCACAACCTCATACTCAGCTTCAAATACAGCAGCGCCAGCAGCAGCAGCAGCAGCAGTTACAGCAACCCTTTTTTCCCTCAATGGTTAGCTCCTTTAGCCCTTCCATGTAGCTTTTAAAATGTTTGAAATTTGGCTGTATTGCTGCTAACCCTGTTGTGTGTAAATCCAGTATCCAGCTTCTGGAATAAGAGGTCAACAAAATACACAGGTATATTTCATTGCCATCTTTGTTTTCAGCATCTTGTTCCTTTTTTTTTTCAGAATCTATGGCTAGATTCTGTGATATATATGAGGCCTTGATTCAGTTTCCATCTCTTTCTGGGCCTCAGGAAATTGGTTATACACAATTATCAATGCCAACTCCAACAATGAATGATCCAACACGGTTCCAGCAGGTATCAGTAATGCCATTTTAATTATTTTAGTTTCCCTTTATTATCACAATTCACAGCTAATTCCCCTCATCTGTGCTGCAGGGACTTCTGCCTGCACAGGAGTTGGCATGGAAAAATAAGCCATCAGGTTTGAATAATTACTTTCTTTGAATTTCGTTTGGCTTGAAGTTTAGGGATTAAAAGTTCATTGGTTGTAATTTCTGTGATAAGAGGGGCAGTGAAAAATATTATTAGTGATCTACCTGGTCTTTACTTTAAACTGAACAAAGTCACCATTTCTTAGTGAAACTTTTCGAACCCATCATGTTTTAGTTAACCATTATTTTAGGAATTCAGATCATAGCATTCATGCTTAGCATCATACCAATTATATTCTTAGTTGTTGTTCCATGAATTGCTTTGCCCTGGCTGCAAGGTATGCCATGTATTTTTAATGGGAGAAATTCTCATCTGCAGGGACTTGAAGCAAACTCGCGGCACAAAACGGGCATAAGTCGAGTCTTGGAGGGAAACAAGACCTAACTGAATTGAGGCGAGGTGCAGGCCAGCTGCTTTAACCATAAATGCCAGATTGTATCTCTAGGACTAGGGTTCTTAAATCTCCACAACAAGGTTTCTCTAACTTGCTTCTTTTTGCTGGGAGCCATTATCTCCCTGCAATTATCTGGCTTTTAAGTTTCCCTGTCTTCGATACATAGCAGAAGCCATGCCTCGACCTTGTGATCTTTTCATGTAACATAACGGTAGCTACTATACCCATTACCCAGATTTAGCGAAAGCTTTGTAACTTATATTCACCATGGGCTAACATAAGAGAAACCTAAACCAACCGCTCAACAATTCTGTTCATCGTTGCCTGGAATCTGAAGGAATATGGTTGAGTTTCTCATGTTGAATTATAGAACTCCAAGTGATTTAGAGAACGTAGAGATCATTAAATTTGGTAGGGATAATTCTGCATCAATTTCATTATTATTACGGAGATTCAAGTCCAGATTCATATTTGTTAATGTAAAACAGGGAACATGCAAAGCTAAAGCTTAAAGGTAGTAGTCAAAGACTAATTGACATTCCTGCAGTTCCGGCGAATCTGGCCATCATTTCCGGTCAGTGACACCAGGCTACCCATTTTTACCATGGAATTCCTGAAATCTTCGAAAAATGCCAGAGGATCCTCTGCATAGGTAAGCACAAGCTGACGGGTTCCGTCATCATCAGTAACAAGAGCCTGGTCAGATGGAAGCAACCCTTCTCCAGAGAGAAGGTTAACGTAGTATTGGTTGTCGAATGTTGCCGGTGTCACCAGATCAAGATGTGCCAGAGCTGTTCCGCTTCCAGATTCCGAGCATAACTGCTGTAGAGACTGAATGAAATCCAGATTAACATCCGGGCCACTGCCGGTTCCTTGTAGCCGGGCACTAAAAGTCGAGCACCGAGCCTTCCCCATGGTATGAGCACCTGCAAGTCATCCCATCTTTATGTTAATCTTGTCCTCATTAGTGTACCAAAAGAATCAACAGGGATCATAACAAAACCAGCACCGGATAGGGCCACCATATCATTTAGTGAAAGTCCAACATTCTGGAATTTGGCAACTAGGGTCGACACACTGGAATTTGGACCAGGAATGTTGTTGGTGGCAGCATCTTTGCTAGCAGTCAGGCCATCTCTTCTACCCATCGGCACTTCCCAACTTGGCCCCCCGGACTGCAAATCCAAACTCATAGTCCTCACATTATTCACATAAAATTGCGTTAACATACACTTGAGGCAATGAATTTAATTAATTACTTACTAGAACAACAGAGTCTCTAGCAACTATTGCAAGAATGTCTGCACAAGAGACAGTCTCCGGACAGACAGATTCGAGTTCAGATTTTATTGCATCTATTACCTCAAACCCTCTCAGAGAATTCAGGTTTGGTGGTGCTGTTTTTTCACCAACAAAGTCTGTGGTGTCATCCAACAGTACCGAGCCATCACAGCCCTACAAAACACAACATAATAAAAGATAGCCTAAGAGGTACAATATAATAAGCCATTTTTAAAAGATAGATAGGGATTTTTTATTATCGAAGAAGTTGGTACTTAGTTATTGCAAGTAGACATTAATTAAAAACGAAACGATTACTTGCATTGACAAAGCAGTCGTGGAAGTGGAGGCGAAGGAGAGAAGCAGCCATCCTAGGGTCTAGGGATATAGCATTTTGGACCTGAGAAAAGATAATCGATTCTGCATCTGGGCAGCTATTTTGGTATATATTGAACTCCAATACTATACCAATATCGGTAACACATGTTTCATCTAGTGCGATGGCTGATTCAAGCACAAGAAAACAGAAAACAAAGTACTTGAGCATTTTGAAAGAAAGGTAGTACTTTGGGCATGTTTGGGATGGAGGAAAGGGCGTTCTATTATATATAGCGTTCTAGGGAAAGGAGAAAGGAGAGGTACTGTAGGGTGGTTAAGGGAAGCAGTCAAGCCATGGAAGAGGTCAAGTTCATATATTGTCATGTTGTAGTACATTTTTACCTAATGTCATGTGCAGGCTTGCTGCTTTATAGCTTTGGGAATTGGGATGATAAGAGAGAGCAGAGAGAGTTGTTAGCTTTTTCATCATCAATGATTAATCCATTTTTGCATGATTTTGTTGAATGAATACAATTCTAGGGAGATGGATCCATCTCAGCTCTTCGAAGAGATACATATAACAGTAATAATTAGGGGTCTTTCTTTTAATTTTTTTTATAATATGAGTATTCAGATATTTAATTTAATTAATCTCACATATATTTATAAATTATCTTATCTATAAGTATTGAATACTAAGTTAAATTTTAATTTTATTTCATGAGACTTGGATCTAAAATCTAGAAATATCAAGACTCTACTTTAATTGTAATTGTTGACCCAAAATCAACAATTAACTATAAAATTTTGATTTGAGGAAAAAAAAAATCAGAAATTTAAACCAGTAGAGTGGATTCATGCATACTGATATTGTCAGTCTGTTTTGTTAAAAAAAAAAAAAAATGTTGGTTTGGACTTGTGCAAAGAATTAATATATTTGGACCTCTTGCGTTTAAGCCCGATAAGGAAATGGTCCAATCCAAAAGAATAAAGCCCACGCCTCCAAGTGTTATTTTTTGATATCTCTGAAAATTTCCAACTACTGCGTTAAATTTCTCCCCTAATGCAAAATAATATAGCAACTTACATTTGGATTTTAGGTTACTAACATAATCATTTAAGGTTGTATAAGGAATTTAACTCGAATCAATCACCATTCATCAAGATTAATAACTTAGTGATAATTTCCCTTTAATAGAAATAAGAAATTTGAATTCATCATTTCCACTGAGTTAATTGGTAGTTGGAAAGTTGGAATTTGAATTTGAAAAGTTGGCATAAAAAACAAACTTGGTACTTAGAAAGTTTGGGATCACTAAAATTAATGTCATCAATATACTTTTTCTCTAGGGGATTTTCACTTTCCAGCAAATGCTAACTCAAGGGCAAACACATATTTTTCACTCTTCACTAGCCTATCATTTTGGGAATATCCCTACCATGATTTTATGCAAGATTTTATACCAAACTTCTAATCACACCACCCTTCATCACAAGGAACTCTGGTTTTTTTTTTTTTTTTATGTTCGACCCCTTTCCCGGAGGGTGAATTAATTCTACAAGAAATTGAAAATTCCTATGGTTAGAGAGGAATCTTAAAAAAGTTTTCTACATTCACATGTGTGTATATATATATATATGAATTGCACAAGGCGTTAAATCAACCAAAATCTTCCACCGGATACACCCTTGTGGACTAATATTGATAAGACAATTTGGAAAAAGGCGATCATTCTTTCTTCCCACCTTATCTTTATAATTATAACAAGTCAGTCAATATATATTACTCTGGACAAACAAACATATGCATTAAGATATAAATAGAAGAATACCATGATTAATTGTTATATACTATAATATGCCATATCTTTTTAAGTAATAATGCCCAAAGGACATATATAGGGTTATTGATGTTAATTGCCCCGTATATAACCAGTACATACTAACCTATTTCTCCATCACCAAGGTAAGGGCTACATAACCTATATTTTTTTGGTGTAAAAGGCTACATAACCTATATGGCCATGGAATGAATGAAAGAGTCGTACAGCTAGCAAAGACGACAATGCAATATGGGAGGGGGACTAAACTGGTCCAACACCCTATAAAATGCATTAAAGGAGCCATTCCTTTCCATCAAGAACCAATACCTTGGCTACTAATTGAGATCGATATACATCCATCTGTTTTAGTAGCTGGCTTAAAAAGAGGGAGAAAAGGCGAAATGGGGAAGGGAAGGGCTTAAAAATAGTACTTCAGTATCTCCATGCATGTTCCAAGATCTCTTATTTAATATTCCTTCTCCATTGATCTTTAGGGTTCCCAAGTTCATCATCCTTTCCCATAAAGTCTCTCAACCATTTCATGTTAAACAAAAGCAAAAGGAGATAAATATCGATGTTTCCAAGAATCCAATAATAATTGTTCATCATCCTTTTCACATAAAGTCCCAAGAATTCGCCTATATTTATATTTTTTTTAAGAAGGGCTAATTACAAAATTTATTTCCAAACCCGAACCCTAGTTTGTTCCTTATAGCGAGACCAATTTGCAGAAACAAAACTGGCCGACATGAAAAAGAATATGAAAAGAGAGGAGTGAAGAAAAAAAGTAAAAAGGAAGAAGAAAGAAAAAAATAAATAAAAAGCGTTAGTGTATATATATATATATATCTCCATAATTGAATACTAATTAACTAATTATTAAATACAAAGAATAACATAGGAAAATACAATATTTAAGGACACATAACCAGTATATTACTACAAATTAAGCCTAAAAAGAGGAGGCTGACTAGTCCTCATTTAAGAAATGATCATCACACGTAGTCTGAAAATGGTGAAGTGGGGTTCTTTTCTAAAGCTAAAACCTCCATAAGTCAGTCAAAGAGAATAAACACAAACCGGAAAAATTAATCTAACCCCATTTATCTACTCCTCTTTAAGCTCATTTCGCATCTGGGATGGAACGATATCCTGAAGAAGCCCATCATCTCTAAGCAATACTGAAGATGTCATGGAAGGAGGCACTCGTCTCTCTTGAATCAAAGAAGGAAACGATATTGGGTTATTGTAACCGGAACTTGCAGTGATATTCAAAGAAGGTGATGGGCTAATTATATAAGGACGTTGCTGTTGCTGATGATGGTGGAAATACTGAGGAACAACAAAAGGCAATGAAGCAGAAGCAGCACCATAACCAGCTGCATCGGTTAGTATCCCCATACTTCCCCGAGGTGTAATCGGGCAAGGATGCGTGTGTTGTCCTTCATAGGTTGTAACCACGACGGTTGTATCTTCGGAAGATCTCTCCACCCTCTTCTTCACACCACACCCTGCCGTAGTGCAACGATAATAGCTCCTGTTCCAAGCATATTATTACAGCTAGAATCAACTAAAGCTTTATTCTATGGTATCACAACTAGGTTTGTTTTGCTTGTGCTGAGAACATAAGATTTTCATTTTAGAACATTTATAAACTAGGAAAAAACAGAATTAGATTGTTGAGGGGGAAAATGAAAATGATACCTGGGGTAAGGGCTATTCTTGACGGCTTTCTGGCCGTACTTTCTCCACCGGAAGCCGTCATCTAAGTGATCCACTTCACTTTTTGTCATGAAGGCAAATCTTGGTTCTCTTTGCCTTTTTGGGTTCTTCTTTTTGGGTTTCAACCTAAACCCACAAACATATATCACTCCCACTGACATGTGATGATCGTCGCTGCTTTAGATCAACCGACCAAATATAACAAAAAATGGATAGAGTATACAAAAACCTTACTTGTTCTTAGACTTCTGATCATCTTGATCTTGCTCCCCATCATCCCCTCCTACTTTGCTCTGTTCTTCATTCGACGACGAAGAGATCGAAGCAGAATTAGGCGTTGTTGGAGCCGTGTTCAAAACCTCTGATGACTCCGGTACTGTAGACGCCGGAGAAGGAATTAGCACTTCTTGTGACGGTGCTAGTGGTGGTGCTGCTGTTGATGCTGATGCTGGTAGTAGTGGTGGTGGTGGAGGAAGGAACGGTGCCTGAACCAACGAATCAAATATAGGAGGAGAAAAATCATGGTTAACACTGAGCAAATCCACGAAGCCAAAACCAGTCGGCCCCCACTTATCGTCAAAGATGCTTGAACCGGTGCCTCCAAAGTTGGCCGGAATCTCGTCGTTAAATGTCGAATTCGCCATAAAATTCTCTGATCTCTTTTCCTCTCCTTCTTCTCTCCTCTGCTCCATAGAACTCTCATCAACCGCACATATTCTTCCCCATTTTTGTAATCCCAAATACACAACAAAATGGGGAAAATGAAATAATATTATCTTGTCCTCCAAGGTGTGAAGATGGACTCGGGCCCCCGGTGGGTTGGGTTACTTTTGGAGAACAGCTTGGAATGACCGGCATCTGTCGGTCGCTAAAAGTACGGTGAGTGGGGATCGGCAGGGGACGGTCTTGGGCATTAATTGCCGCAGGACCGCCTTTGGTCCACTTGGGCTTACGCGGCAGTTGACCGGTTTAACCGGTACTGTGTAAAATGCTTCGCTCGTGTGCGCACGTGCCTTACATTTTAAGTTATTTTCGCGGTTTACCCTTTCAATTTCTTTTTTGTATTTTTGGAGGACTTGTGTGACACACAATAATTTAAATTTTCATCTATGAAATTATTATGGATATACCCTTTTTGTATTTTTGAAATTTTAAAAAAAATTTTAACCTGTACTCTTGAACTATCATAAAGACACTTTTTAATAATAAATTTATATAAAAAAATAAAAAATCAAATATTAACTTTAGATTCAATGTCATCTGAATAAATTTAATTAAACAGTTAATAAATTAAATATTATTTTTTATTTTTGTTAAAAGTCTTAACTTGTGTCCGTAGAGCACAAGTTAGAAATAGTCCCTTTTTTTGATTTATTATCATTAGGTCGTCCCTATATAAATTTTTATGCATTTTAGTAAAATTCATCTTTATATTGATTTAATATATTTAAAAAATTATTTTTTTAAATATTAAAATTAAAATTAAAATTTTATACTTAATATACAAAATAATATTCATTTATTAATAGATCCATCAACTGTTGGGGTCATGAGATTTTTAAATTCCTCTCAATGAGATTTTTCTGAAAATACCATATGAGAAGGTTAAAAAGGGAAATTAATGTGCGGTGAGTGCCAATGCCAATTACGTCAGCCGCCGCGCCATTCGGCCCACTGCTTCTTAGACAAGCCATATGTTATTCAGTTATTCTAGAAGAATAATTAAGTTTGTATAAATATCCAATTTCTTTAATTACAACCCGAAATAAGGGTAAATTAGAAAAAAATGTATTTATTTATCCTTAAAATATTACAAAGATACATAATTAATTTGATATAAATTTTCAGTCAAAAAATTACTATAGTATTACTATTTTGATGGCAATGGAGTAATAATTATGCTATAAATATATATGACATTAATGAGTTGTTTGATATAATAATTTGAAATTAGTGATTAGAAGTTTTATATAATAATTTAATGAATAAAATTATTTAAATTATTAATGTTAATAATTATTAATTATTATATTATATAAAATTGTTAACCGTTACTTTCAAACTGCTGTACTAAGCAATTTCTAAAATATCAATTACAGAAATGGAAATGAAAGAACTTTTGAAGGTGGGGCACAAGATGCGGATATAAGACCATAATGATGAAGATTGAAGAACTAATGAAGCTTCATGTGGTATATAACAGTCCAATTGCCATTATCCACAAATCAAAGGCACGAGAGCTACAATCTCGTTACAAAGTCTCTTAAAAATATCCCTTTCTTAATTATGAATCCAATGAAAGTGGAAACACGAGTTCCATATTGTTTAAGAAAATGAAAGAGTGGGGAAAGATTCTTTTTCAATACAAATTAATTATATATTTCAATTTGAACTGACAATTTTTTTTTTCCTACCCTTTACAAAATTAATACGAAAGTATTATTGAGATGTTGGTCTTATTCGTGTAAGTAGGGATGCTACGATACGTGGAGGCGTCCCCATCATACATTAATAGTGATGGAAATGGAAATGGAAATGGAAAGGCAGTGATTTTCCTTAATCAGATTAAAAAAATTTCCAACGCGGTTTTACTATATTCCTTCTACACTTCCTTTCATTTCTAATTCCTCCTCATTTTTTTTTTCTTTTTTTTCTTTTTCTTTTTCCTTGAGGAAAAAGGAAAAGATCACCCACCAAAATCCTCTTTTGTTTTTCTTTTTTTTTTTTGGGTGACTGCCACGATTAGGTTGGCAGCTGAATAAGCACCGACGAAACAGAACCTAACGGTAATTTGACCATGAAGTTTTTAAGAGAAAGTAAGGGGTGTTTAACTGTTTATAATTAAAAAAGAAAATGATATTGTTAAAATTAATATCTTATGATATTGTAATTTTATAATTATAATGTGTTATTATATGATTATATCTATCCATAATTATACAAAAATAAGTGATATGCTATTCAATTCGACACTTGTTCCATTTAACTATTAAAATTTAATATAAATATAATTGATTTAATTAATTCTTATATACTATATGTATGATTGTATATTTAAGTCTGTTTATCTTGATAATTTTAAATTAAAAAATAATAAATTTTTATAAATATATATTATTGTAATATCTTAAATTGAAAAATATATCAATTAATATTATGATTATATATATACAATCACTTATTTAATATTATTTTATGATTGTAACTTATAATTTATAATTATATCTGTTTAAGGTATTGTCATTATTAAAATCATGTAATTTAAAAAGGAGACCTATAATTTTTAAAATATAGAACGCATAAATAACCAATAAAACATTGATTCATGTTGTATATATTTTACGAGAGTTGAGCCCGCATCATGTTGACTTGGGAATTAAGGTCGAAATTTCCGAGAGAAACAGTTATTATCAAGAGAAAAAGATTAGGGCTTTTGTTTTGTTCCCACATTCACATGCACAGCTTTAAGAGATCACACGTACGAGAACACGACCACAACTCACCGGAGCGTGGCCGCCACGACTCCAGAACGGAGTTTGGTCCTGTCCGAAGTGGGACAAAAAAGATACACCGGTCCTTAATGATGGGTTTGACCAAAGGAGAGAATACAGTTCGTGTCCCTGTCTGGCTTTAGTTTAGTTTTAGGGATCTGATTTCTGAGACGTTTTCTGTGGTCAAAGGTCAAGGCATTTGAATAATTGTTCTCTTTGTTTAATTTATTTTAATTTCTTCAACTGACATTACAATATAAAACAAGTACTTACAGTATATAATTGTGTTAAATTGAACAAAAAAAAATCTAAATTTATTTTTCGTGACTTTTTAATTCTGATCATATTGCACGCATTATGTGTTTTAGTTTGTGCCTCCATGTGCATTTCGCTGCAATATGCTGCATGTAAAGTTATCCATAGTTTAGCTGCACTCATCATTTTTTTTTTATTACCTTTTTGAAATTAAAAAATTATATTAAATTTTAATTAATTTAAAATTAAGTTAAATCTGATACTTATTTTTGTATTAAAAAACTTAAATTTGAGATTTTATTTAAACAAATAAGTAGTTGGTGTTGCACTCATCATTAATTAGCTTAAGTTTAATCTTTTTATTATTACTCCTTCTATTAAATTTTAATAAATTTAATTTGATTTTTTTACTTTTTAAATATAAATTTCAAATAAAAATTTAATAATTTATATAAATAATAATTGAAATTTTTTTCTTATATGCAGTTTTTATTAAATATTTTTATTTTATTAAAAAGTTTTAATTATTATTTGTATAATATATTAAATTTTTATATAAAATTTATATTTAAAAATTAAATTAAAATTATTAAAAATAAACACAATATTTTTTTACAATAAAATAATTTTAACTAGTAGATAACTTAGTACAGCGAGCATTTCTCATCAATAGCAAGTATATTAATTTATCGTCATTTTCTCTCTTGATAGTAATTTTTTTATGGTGATTTTTTTATATTAACTTTTGATATTTTAAAATTATATTAAATTTTAATTAATTTAAAATCAAATCACTTCAATCCTTATAAAAGAAAAAACTTTTCCTATATCTATTTTTCCAATTATAAAACATAAATTTAAAATTTTATTTAAAAAATTAAATTTTTTTATTTAAATCGATAAATTATTGATATTTTTTTTATGGTGATTTTTTTATATTAACTTTTGATATTTTAAAACTATATTAAATTTTAATTAATTTAAAATCAAATCACATCAATTATTATAAAAAAAAACTTTTTTTATATTTATTTCTTCAATCATAAAACATAAATTTAAAATTTTATTTAAAAAATTAAATTTTTTATTTAAATCGATAAATCATTGATATTTTTTTTTATGGTGATATTATGCAAAGAGCCTAACAATTAATATAATTCAAGAAATATATGGGCTGGAGGTGCCCTAGACTTATTGTAGAGTAGGCATTATTGACTGGCATTCTTTTCTCTAGATCTTACGCGCTAACTAAGACACTAGCCTTTTAGCAATTTGGTTTTTATAGCTTAGTCTGAATAACAATCTTGTTGAAAATAATTAATTATGCAGGTGTGACTGGTATTAATATGCAGTGTATGATTAATGTAAATATAGACAGAAATATCTTTTATATTCTATTTATAATAGAACAGTATGTTTTGATCCAATGACATGAATTTTATGTTAAAATCATTTATTTTTTGTAGGTAACGAGCTTCAGTCTTACGAATTCTCTTTTTCTTTACTCATTTAATATATGTATATAATTTTAATATGTTAAAAAAAAATACTTTGTTTATAATAAAATTTTATTTTAAAATAAGACAGTTGTAAATATATATATATAGCTAGCTACATATAGCTATATTTACCAATCAAGAATTATTTATAAACATGTAAATTTTATATAAATTATCAAAGGTTAATTTTTAAATTTAACAAAGTATAATAATATTATTTTCAATCATTATACTTAAAAATTAGTAATTAACCAGTTCTATAAAGTATAGGCAATTTGTCTATACAGATCTAGTGCCTACTAACACCCATTATTATAATTTTTTTTCAAGAAAAGGCAATTACTGGTACAGATCTAGTACATACTATAATTTAATTCTATCCTTGCACTAAATCATAAGATAATAATTAATCATGGAAGCTCACACGCAAGGAAACAGTTTGAATGGAGAGAAACCGTGTGTATGATTGAGAAAGTTTGTGTGGTTGTCCCACAACATAAGTTGGATATAATTATATTAGATTTGACAAAGAGGTAGTAGCTGTTATGCAGAAACAGAAAATGATAAAGAGATAGTTTTTTTTTAAAATAAAATTTTAATATAATTTTATATGTT